ATATATATACACACACACACACACACACACACACACACATATATCAATCAGCTTCAGAACAAGCTATTTCCTCTCGGCCTAGTTGGTGAGGAAGAAGCTGGTCTGGGAAAAGAGGTGCAATCATCACTGTCCTCAGGGTAGAAACCCTGAATGAGAGGTACGGCCTTCCTCTGGCAGGAAACCTTTGCACCCCTCTCTTCTGTCTGTCACGTTGGCCCCTGGTGGGTGCCATCAGTCCTGAGGAACAAGCCAAAGTTCAGAGTGGTGTGAGTGCTGAGGAAACCCTATCACGGTGACTTGCCCTGACTTCTAAAAGAGAAGCTTCAGAGAAGCAGCTCGGTGGTAAAGCATGTGCTTGGCAGGAGCAAGGTCATGGGTTCAAGCCTCAGCACCATAAAAAAACAGAAAAAACGCTTCCCTCTTTGGCTAAACTTTCCAAGTAGACTGAGGGTGTAGCTCAGTGGTAGAGCACTTGCCTTGAGTGGTAAGGCCCTGGGTTCCAACCCCAGTGTGAATAAATGAATAAAATGAAGAGGCAGGATTGGGAGGACGCGCTCCTTGGAGGAATAGTGGGGGGGTCAGAAGGAGGGGCGCGCGTGTGGCCATGTGTGTGTCAGGAGGCAAGGCTTGAGCAGAGGCCCTGAGGAGGGAGTGATCGTGTGGACTGTGCGTCAGGGAGGGATAGCCTGGCTGCTGAGGCTGACTCAGGCCTGTCACTGTCCGGGGAAGGAGTCTGGGTTTCCCCATCATCAGAGGCTTTTCAGTTCCAGGATCACTGACCCCTTGGAATAACTGAGGAAATCTCCATCCTCTCCCCACAAGAAACCAGGCAGTGTCTTTTTGGACCATAGGGTGAGCCCCCCCAGATGGGTGATTGGGATCCTCAAGGAAAGGCAGCCTGTAGCCTGGAGGACACGGGGACACAGACGGCACCCTGAAATGAGCTGTGCTCTGGCTTTCACATCCTGTGACACCTCGGAGCTCCCTGGAATGGCCGAATGTTGTGCTGGATGGCCTCAGCAGCCCTTGCAGCGGAACTGTCTATCTCTGAGGGTCAGGAGGCTGCTAGTATCCTTGTTAGTCACAGATCTAGCCCAGGGGACACTGCTGGGCCATGCCACGGTCTGGCCGTGGTTTACTTTGGGCTTTGATGCTCTCTTAGGCCCCAGGATGCCTGGATCCAAGACTCTCAGCCTAAGGGTTTTTATTCTGAATAACAGAATTAATCTATTTCAATATTATGGGGTTTGTTTGCTTGCTCGCTGTCCTTGCACACATTAGACAAGTGCTGTAACACTCACTCCCACCCTGTTTGATTCACTCCTCAGCCCAGTATATATATATATGTGTGTGTGTGTGTGTGTGTGTGTGTGTGTGTATTTGCAATGGCTCAAACATTAAAAAAGAACAAGATATATAGTGAGAAGTTGTCCTCGTGCTCCCTCATCCCCTCAGTGCCCTTCCCAGAAGGTAGTGGCAGGAATCTTCCCAGAGACTTTCTGTGCCTATGCCCAAGTGCTACTCGTAGGTGTTTTGTTTCTGTCTCCAAAGGGGCTTTCTGCTGAGAGCGCAGTGAAAGACTTCCCCTCACGGACTCCCTTGTCTATAAAAGTAGACGCAGGACAAACCAGGGATTTCCATGCTGTGTTCCCCTCAGAAACTTCCAGACCCGGTCCTGGTGACTCCACCAGCTCATGAATTCATTAAGTGTTTGTCAAGCTCCCTTCTTCTCCAGCTGCTCCCCCTGCAGAACTGCCGGGAAATGCAGGCAAAAAATGTGCTGCTGGAGAACAGTTTGTTCTCCCCAGGGTCCAGGGGTAACCACTGGCTTCTGCTTGATCACCTCAGACGAGCAGCTCCTCACTGCCAAGGTGGCCCATTTCTCCTATGAACAACTCAGCTGAAAACCGCTCACCTACCCCAAGTCAGAGTCTGTTTCCGGGGAGTTTCCACACAGTGATTCAGCGCTCTGCCTTATGGAGCAGAGCTCACAGTTCCAGGGCGCTTAGTTCCATTTTACAAGCAAGGAAACGGAGGGTCAGCGAGACGAAGTGACACACATTCCGTATTTATAGGGATGTGCCAGGGCTAGAACCCAGGCAGAGACATGCTTTTCTCAGGAAAGACACCAAGAGTGGTAAGGACAGTGCCGTGTACAGAGTGAGTGCTGTTAGCTTGTCACTTTATATTTGAGTCTCCAAAACAAGAGAGACAGCATATGCAAGGCTTTGGTTTGATCCCCAGCACTGTGAAAGGGTGGGGTGGGTTAGAAGGGGGGGAGAAAGTGGGGGATGGAGGGAGAAAGGAAGAAAGGAAAAGGAGGGGAAAGGAAGGCAAAGAAAGAAAGGAGAAAAGAAAAGAGAGCATGAGAGAATCAGAACGGACAGATTTACCTTGGACTAAATTGTGTCTTGGCCCTGAATGTTCCCGGCAGGTCCCTTCCTCTTCTTGGGCTTCAGTTTTCCCATCTGTAAGATAGGGGGTTGGAGTAGACAAGCGCTCAAAAGCCACAGGTCATTTGTTTGTTTGAATAAATTGACAAAATAAACCTTTGGTAAGTTAGCCTAGAAAATCAGTTTTCGGGCCGGGGATGTAGCTCAGCGGTTCGGTGGCCTGCCTTGCAAGCGCAAGGACCCGAGTTCAACCCCCGTACCAAAAAAAACAAAACAACAATCAGTTTTCAACCTCCCCTTGATATCTGGTAACACAGAGATGGGTGTGTGTGCGCGCGTGTGGTGTTGGGGATGGAAACCAGGACTTCATGAATGCCAGGTAAATGCTGTGACTCTAGGTTCATGTTTTGAATGACAGCAAAGACAAGATAAACACCCATCAGCCTGCCTCAAACATTTGTCACCTATAGGCACATGTGTTTGCCACCTGTGGGCTATGCCTTTCCCTGGATTGTTCCCAATGCTGGAATTGAGTAGACTGCACTTTTCTTAATACCTGCTGCTTGTCCCTGTCCCAAGCTGGCAGTGCAGTGATGGATGCCCCTGCCCCCAGAGGCTCTTGGCCGGAGGTAGGAGACTTCTCTGAGAAGGTGTCTACCCTGAGCCTGAAGGATGGATAGGGCTTCTTCAGGTGGAGGGGAGAATAGTCTGGTTTTGCTAGAATCCAAATTTAGACAGAGGGTCATCCGTCAGAAGTCACCAAAATAGCCTTTCTCAGAAAGACTTCATTTTTTGAGCACCCATTCTCTCCCGAAAGCAATGCCACCTTTCCTCTGGGGTGATACACTTTCTATTCAGTGAACCAAGCCATTCTTCCATGTCTGGGACTGGGAATCAGCAGGCTTGGATTTTCATCCAGGTCTTAGGCGTGTTGAGTGTCTTTGGACAGATTACTGTTCTTCTCTCGACCCCAGTATCTCATCCAAGTGGCTCCTTTTGAATATTAAGGTCGCCGCATAAATGTCAAGACATAACTACCTCATTTTTTCCCAGAAGGCTGTGGGTGAGTTTGGAAGGGAGATAGCATCTCATTTGCCGTGGTGACCTCTATTCCTTCTTTGTCCTTGGGCAGCCTCTACTTGGGGGTCTCAGGGCACCCAAGGCAAATGAGGAAAAAGCACAGAGTACACACAAGGCTCAGATCACCACAGGTCTGATCGGGCCGGTTCTGCCAGAGCTAAGGTGCCCCTGCTCCGGACCTGTTCCTGCTCTAAAGGGAAGCAGGTTGTCTCTTCAGCCGAGATCAACTAATAGGAAGGGGTATTTCTCCCTCCTCCGGATCATTATTATTTCCTTTGAACCAAATTCAAATTAAGTCTCATGATTATGCCTAAGACTCATAATCATTCAAACATTTGTACAGCGGTTTCCATGTTGAGGGTGCCTGTTTTCCTGTTTCCTCCCAGCAGCCTGTGGGGAAGGTAAGGCCCACAGCCTCACTTCACAGAAGAGGATGCTAAGGCTGGCAGACAGGAAGTGACTAAGACCTTATAGCCGGTGAATGGGGTACCAAGTGGAGTGTAGCTTTGGTTGGCTGGCTTGCTTTCTTTCCCTAGCCTCATTTCCTCCTTTCCTTCCTTCCCTCATTTCTTCCTTTCCTCCTTTTTTTCCATTCCTTCTTCCTCTATCTTTTTCTTTTTCTTTCTATTATTATTTTTTTCTTTCCAGGGCTGGGAATTGAATCCAGGTCCTTCCCACTGAGCTATATCCCTGTCCCCCTAAAACATTTTTTAAAATTTTGGGACAGTGTCTTGCTCAGTTGCCCAGACTGGGCTTAACTTTGAAATCCTCCTGAATCAGCCTTCCACAGTGGTGGAAGGCTGCACCACACCCAGTAGCTCTGGGTCTCTTGACTCTCGGCCCTGAGTAGCCCTGGTTTCTCAGGCCTCTGATGCTGGTTTCCTGTTTCCAGGTACAACGGCTTGGTAACCTGCACAAGGGCCAAGGGCATCATTGCGATCTGCTGGGTGCTGTCGTTTGCCATCGGCCTGACGCCCATGCTGGGCTGGAACAACTGCAGTCAGCCAAAGAAGGACAAGAACCACTCACAGAGCTGCGACGAAGGCCAGGTGACCTGTCTCTTTGAGGACGTGGTGCCCATGAACTACATGGTTTACTACAACTTCTTCGCTTTTGTGCTGGTGCCCTTGCTGCTCATGTTGGGCATCTACTTGCGGATCTTCCTGGCAGCCCGCCGACAACTGAAGCAGATGGAGAGCCAGCCTCTGCCAGGCGAGCGGACTCGGTCCACGCTGCAGAAGGAGGTCCATGCCGCCAAGTCACTGGCCATCATTGTGGGGCTCTTCGCGCTCTGCTGGCTGCCCCTGCATATCATCAACTGCTTCACCTTCTTCTGCCCCGGGTGTAGCCACGCCCCGCTCTGGCTTATGTACCTGGCCATCATCCTGTCCCACAGCAATTCCGTTGTGAACCCCTTCATCTATGCCTACCGCATCCGTGAGTTCCGCCAGACCTTCCGCAAGATCATTCGCAGCCACATCCTGAGGCGGAGGGAACTCTTCAAGGCAGGGGGCACCAGCGCCCGGGCCTTGGCAGCTCACGGTGCTGAGGGAGAGCAGGTCAGCCTCCGGCTCAATGGGCACCCCCCGGGGGTGTGGGCCAATGGCAGTGCGCCCCATCCTGAGCAGCGGCCCAATGGCTATGCCCTGGGACTGGTGGGCGGAGGGAGTGCCCAGGGGCCCCGCGGGGGTGCCAGCCTCTCAGACGTGGAGCTCCTCAGCCATGAGCAAGAGGGAACGTGTCCAGAGTCCCCCGGCTCAGAGGACCCCTTAGCCCAAGGCAGAGCAGGAGTGTCCTGATGGCACACAGGGTTTGCCCCTTCCTGAAGGAAGGAAATTTTATCTTTCTGTTTGGCTGGACCAGTCCTAGTGGGAGAGAAGAAAGACTGTGCCTGGAGACCCTGGGGGATCTGGAACCCGCTCTGGACTGAGACGAGGGAGCCCCAAGCTGGAGCAGCATGTGGCCCAGCAACAAAGGCTGGTATCTGAGGAAGCAGATGTTTGTACTCTGAGGCCCTGCAGGTAGTCCAGGCTGTAGTCCCAGCAGCATCTTGGCTGAGCAGGGCCCAGTCCCCCGCCCCCCAACATCTAGAATCCCCACTTTGTCTACAGAGCAGCTGTGGCTTAGCAGACCGGGTTGGCCTCAGGCTGGGCAGTGGCTGCAACAGACCTCCTGCCACACACACCACCCTCCCAAGACTCTCTAGGGCTCAGGGAACTGCTGGCCGGGGATGGCATTTAAGTATTTTTTTTCCAGAAGATATGTGTGAGGAAATCCTTTTTATTTTATTATCCTTCCCTCCCTGTCTGCTGAGTCTGTTGTCTGTCCTGCTGCTAACCTGGCACCAGGAGTCCTCCCAGGAAATCTCGGGCAGCCCTCTCCACCGCCACGAGCTACCGTGCGCTCAATTGTAGGGCCACCTCTCGGGACAACCAATCTGGGCTGGAGGACAGGGAGTTGTAACGGGAATGGTGCCAGCCGTGGACTAGGCCTCATGGGAGAGGTCGGGGCTGGCAGGCCACGGGGCTGTGCCTGGATAGCTGAGAGCTGCCCGTTAGAGGCCCTGTCTAACTGCCTGTTCTTCTAAAGGGAATGTTTTTTGTTGTTGTTGTTGTTTATTTGGTTGGTTGGTTGGTTGTTGTTTTTTTTCCGGAGATAAAATAAAAATGAGCCGCATTGTGTTTTGAGTTTTCCCAATGAGAATGGTGTCCGAGTTCCTTTTCCTTCTCTATAGCTAGGCCTGGGATTGTGTTGATTACCTGTTAGTGAGCATGTGTGTTGTGCGTGTGCGTGTGTGTGTGCAGACAGACAGAAGATACTCTCTGTCCTAAGGGCCTCTTGTCCTCCCAGGACAGGACTGGGTTGCACCGGAATCCAAATACCCATGCAGATGCCCGCAGACCTATGTTCCTGCGCGTCTCCCCACCACAGGCAGTGTAGGAGGAGGGGTCTTTGCCCAGCGTCTCCTCCCACTGGGCCCTGTCCCTTCCAGTCCCAGGCATTCATGGTGAGAAGACCTATCTCACCCTTCCCACCTCACCTCCTGAGAGGAAGATCTCGCTGTGGATCCTCCCAGAACTATGTCCCTCAGCCCCCACTCCACCTGTCAGCCAAGAGGTCACAGAGGTATCTGGACTGGGGCTAAACTGCCATCTCCTGAGTGACCCTCCACCGTCCTCCCAGTACAGAAACCTGTGAGGAATACGGCCTGTGGGGCCCCCTGCTTGAGGATGCTGTCCTGCTCCTGTGAGGGTGGTCTGCTGGGCTTGGCAGCGAGCTGTGATTGTTCCCTGTTGGGCTCTGAGGGCCAGTTTGGTCTCATGCAGGTTGGGATTTGGAAACGGAGTATTAGAACTTCACAGATAATGCTCACACAAGCCTGGTATCTTCATTACTTTTCTTTCATCGCTCAGACAAAATTCCTGACAGCCAAAGTTAAAGAAGGAAATGTTTAGCTCACAGTTTGTAGGCGTTTCCGTCCATTATTGGCTGGCTCCAAGGCAGGGTGGGTGGCAGACAGCAGGTAGCAAAGCAACAAGGGGCCTTAACAGTGCCTTTCTGCCCCCTTTATCTTACCCAGGCTGCTCAGGGAGGGCAGCACTCACGCCCTTAATCCTAGTGCCCTTGAGCCTAGCCGTGCACCCTGAATCAATTCCAAGGGTACTCGCTGCAGATCCAGCCATCGCAGGAAAGCCCCACCTATGCTAGTAAGTGGCAGAAGTGAACTGAAAACCCGGGTCTGTCTGATTGTGAAATCCGTGCTTTCCGGCCCCCCTTTCTTTAATGGATGAAGGAACTATTTCAAACAAACTGAAAAGCATGAAATAATACCAATGTCCTCACTGCTCTACTTAAGAAATGAAACAACTACTGTTGATGTATCCGATCCCTCCTGGGTCGGCCACCCTGGGGCCTGAGCTTGGAGACAACCACTCTCCTGAACGAGTTTCTGTTCCCTGGTGCATCTTTACACTTTCACTGTGGCTGCGTTTGTGAGTTGCTTTAGCTATCAACACCCATCGGATCTAACTCACTGACTGTGAGGCCTGGGTCAGGTCGGGCGTGCGGGCCGCTGGGAGTGGAGGCCTCCCAGGGGGGAGTCGGCTGGGGGCCCCGGCTGGGGGCGCAGGATTTTTTGGCAGCTTAGCATGGAAGTGACCGATCACCTTGCTCTGATTTCTACCTGACCTGTGTTGGCAAGGGAGCAATAGCACATCAAAACAGTGCTCCAGGAGCGAACGGAGGAACCGTCGTTCATGCTCAGGCACATGGGTCCCTCCACTGGTGCCTGCTGGCCCTGGGGGAGGAGGCGAAGCTGTACCTCCAAGCGAGCAAAGCAAAAAGAGTTCACCCATGGCCAGGGATTTAGCTCAGTGGTCCTGCCGCCTGTCTCACAAGAGCACTGACCCGAGTTCGATCCCCGGTTCCCCCCCTAAAAAAGAGTTCACCCGTGGACTGAAATAGTGGTGAGTACTGTCAATGCAGAGAGAGAATGAAAAACATGACTGCGAAAGACAGCGATTGAAAAGCAAGCAGAGAGCACAAGACGCGCTGCAGAGTGGATCAGCTGGAAGAAAATGAACACTTGGAAGCAAAAATTAAATTGCCGACCAAAGAATTAAGTATACTGAAAGATTTGTTTCCTGAGCACGCACACAACCTTGCAGACAAGGAGCAGCCCATTAGCGCTGAAAATATGACAGCAAATTCTGATCCTGCAGGACAGCAGACCTCACCTGTCTCAGACTTCACAGCTGTGGCTTGAACATTAAAGGTGGGACCACCTACACCGCTCAGATATTCCTGGCAGGATGTGGTCTTTTCCATTATTCAGAGATCCACTGGAGGTTATGTTCTAGGATCAGCCCTGAAGAGTTGATTAGCCATGCCCTTTAAATATATGGCTTTAAATGAGGTACATTTTTGTGGGAATTAAAAAACAAAAAATTTTAAAGCATATGGTAAAATAAAAAACATACCCTGGACCATAATGTTCTTGTTATCTTTTCTTTTCTTTTTGTACCATGGATTGAAGTCAGGACCTTGAGCCTATGAGGCAGGTGGCAGAGCCACCGAGCTCAATCCCTGGCCCTGGACCGTAATGTTCTTAGTAAGTCCTGACTTTCCCCCAGAAGTACTTCTTTTTTAAGTTGAAAAAGGAGTGGGAAACTGGCAGATCATGCACAAGGCTCTCAGTTTTAATAGATACAATTAATCGGATTTGGAGAAGTTGAATTCCATCTATACTAATCTTATTTGTGATTTTATTCTAAATTCTCCCAGGGCTGTAGAAACCAATCATTTTGTAATCTGGAGTGGTTTTTGATGTCAGATTAAGTAAAGAAACTCCATCGTAAATTCCATCCCTGGTATGAGAAAAAGAAAAAAAAGAAAAAAAAAAGAATCTCCATCACATCTTAAAGCAATATATGGTTAAATAGCTTATAGAAATAACAAAAAGTAAAGCATATTAGGATTATGATTTAGGGATACCATTGGGTTATTGGATTGGTATTATTTTACATCCTTAAAAAAACAAAAACAGAAACAAAAAAACAAACCTCATCCATGTACCAGAGTTTTGGTTTCTACAGATGCTAATAAACTGAGTTGACTTTTTTTTCCTTTGGTACCATTTTGACAGTCAAGTTAGTAAATAAAATGTTTTAATAGTTTGATACATAAGCTATTGATAAGGATTTGGAATATTAATTCAGCTGGTGGTTTCTGCTGTGTTCAAAACAACTGCTATAGGGCCATGAGTGCATTTATTGAGAAAAAAAATTGTGAAGTAACATTTTGGTACGATTTAATCTTAACCAAATAAATATTAGAAAAATATATCAACTCCATACCATCTCCTAAAACAAGAGCTTAAGAAAACTTGAAAGTGTAAGGTTTTCACCTTTAATTTATTCTGCTTAAATACATCTGTTGATGTTGTTTTAGTTTTTTTTTTCTTTGTTTGTTTGGTGACAATTCTTTCAGTGGGCTGTTCTTCCAGACTTTATGTACCACTGCTTCTGTTCATTCATTGTGTACTTTTATGTCCCATAAATTATTTTGGAAAGAAAATGCTGGTAAAACTCAGGATATTGACATTTTTGTGGAGACAAAAAATGGCACTCACTAACGGAGGGCACCTCTAGAGTCTAATCACTGTTGGAAGTTTAGATTGTTAACTTTGTCTTACAGCATGATTCTAGCTCAAGTCTGTCGTTGGCTTCTGTGTATTATTTTGTGCCAGGATGGCGATTAGACTGTCAGACCTGATTAAGTTTGGTTATGTGAATGTGGTCATTTCTGGCCACACTGCTGTTTCCCACTAGGACTTGGGGTAGTGTAACCAGACAGTAACTCAAGTTGCTCCCTGGGTTCGGTGGAAGTGTGCTGTCTGTGCTGTTCTCCCGGGCAGAAGATGACATCGTGCCTTGCGACTCTGCAAAGATTTTCAAGGCTACAAGTTCCTTGTCAATGTGGGATTGGAGCCAGGTGTTGTTCCATGAACTACGTCCCTGGAGGGCTATTAATTCCACTACAACCAAGAAATGGTAGGGTTTTTTTTTTTCAAGTTAGGGTCCAACAGCACTTTACTTTGGTTGGAGTATTGATCTACTCATAGCGGTTGATAGATGTTCGCATAACTAGGACTTAACCAACCAACAGGCCTACTAAATCCAACAGCTGATTGATGTCTAACTAATTGGAGATGTAGTTAGCCCACTTGAATCTTTAAACACCTATAACAGGTGTTACATTTTAATACCTTATTTTAAAAAATCAGAAATGGACCTCCATATGGAAATTGTGGTTATCAATGATACAAAAAGAAAGCAACTGTAGGGAAATCGTCGAGTGCATACTCAGTGTTTCAAGTCAGAACATAAGACTGGGAGTTTGAGAAAAATTGACTCAAGCTTTCCTATAACCTGTGCAAATCAGAATTGAACACATGCATACAACAACAAAAAAAAAGTTAACCACTGTCTTGACTATTTTACTCAAGTGGTTAAGAATGGAAATTTTTAGTTTGGTAGATATAACTACCAAAAACCAGGAGGACAGAAATTGAGAGAAATCAAGTGACAGGAGTAAGTTTAGAGCTTTGGGAATTGTAAAGTGACTATTGTAACTTGTTGTGAGTTTGTGATTTATGGACCATTCGGATTTGACCTGCTTTGCATCAGGTCCAGCGGTTAGGGATTAGGCTGCAGGGTAAACTGCTAGCTGCATCCGGGATAGTCGGGATAGTGCCCTTTGATTGGCTGAGGCCGCAGATGGCGACAGGAGCAGCTCTTCCGGTCAGGCCCCTTTCAAGCCCCTGAACTGGGATGCAAGTTCACATGCAGTGGACATTCTCACCGAAAACGAGTAAGACTATAAAATAAGACACGATTTTTAAAATTCAGGTCATGAGTGTAAAATTCTCAAGTTTACGTAGAAAGTAGAGGAGTATGTATAATTTGACGTTAAAAGAAAGGAAAGTTGGTGTTTCTTAATCCCCATTAGAGGGCTGAAACTTTGTACCTGAACAACGCATTTAGCACTTGGTGCTTTTTGATGCCTTAGAAATAGGACAAGTAATTTTTGTTTGACAAAAGGTAGGAAAGAAAAAGTCCATTCTACAGCTAATTAGATCAGCCTCTCAGGAAAAAGCACTAACTTGTTCTTTTTGTTCCTGGCTTTTGTTTGTGAGATTACTCTATATTTTTAATATAATTTTATTTCTTTCAATAAATCCTAAAATTAAAAAAAAAAAAATCCATCCGTCAGAGCAAGAGAACCATCTGGGAAGCTCTGAGCAGGCCCAAAGCCTGAGCCCTTTGCCAGAGACACTGGGTTAACTCGCCCACCACACGGCTTCCCTCCCTCCTGCTCACTGCGTGTGAGGCAGTGGCCTGGGCGTGCTGAGGGGGCCACCAGTAAGGATGCCCTTAGTCCTCATGACCAATCAGTGGGGAACATTCTAGAAAGAGAACCACAAAGGCAGGGAAGAAAGAAGCACCCTTGTTCCAGTCTTTTCCCAAGGCCTTGGGAATTGAGCTTTGGATGCTGGCCTCCAAGGTGCAGGCTTTGGGGTTGGGAAGGAGAGGAGGGTCAGGGCATTAGAAAGGCTTCCGGGGACAAGTGCACCCCAAGTCCTTTCAGGGCCAGCCCCAGCCCAGCTCTGGAGCCCGGGCCTTCTTGGGTCCCCAGCGGTCCAGCGTCCCGTCCCCACCCCCACCCCACATGGGCTCCCATTGTGAGCTGGCCCTGAGTGTGAGTGCGCAGGCTCAGAGACACACGCGCACGTCACTCCTCTGACCCCAAGACAGCACACTCGTATCCAGTGCCCGCCTCAGCAAGGCTGAGTGCCCACGGGGGAGGTGGGAAGACTGGAGAAGAACACGAGCAATTGCTCGGCCTGAGACAGACGTTGTCTGGCCCCATCCGCACTGGGCCAGGCTGCAGGGGCGCTATGGCAGGGCCCGGCTGCTCTCTCCCTGCTCTTCTCAAAAGGCTGGAAGTGGATAAAATGTTTCAAATGTTCTTTCCTGAATACACAGACCCCACCGGAGATCCACGTCCAGGGCAGGAGTGGCTGGGTCACAGTGCAGTCCAGGAGTAGGCTGGTTAGGCTTAGGCTTGGTTCTGGCTCCTTCCTGCCCGCTTCCCTCTCCTCTACTCACCACCCCGCCGTGCCAGGCCTTCCTTTCCCTTCACCACAGAGCAGGGGCTTGGAGCTGGGCTGAGTCACAGTCCTGTGTGCTGACCGTAGGGTGACAAATCATAGCAGGACAGGGGTAAGGGTGAGGGACACTGGGGTACGAAGGAATGGCCTGCTGTCGCCCCGTGGATGGCACCCCAGAAATGGAGAGCTGGCCTTCTTTTCGACTGCAGTGGGGACCCAGGAAAGAGGGGGATCTTAGAAGCCAGCTGCCCAGACAGTAGGCTGGTTCTATGCAGGCTGCCTTGCTTCTGGGGTCACAGGAAAGGGGTCAAATCAGAGATCGGTGAATACTGCTCCTATCCTGCCCTAACGTGCAGTCGCCACGCTGCTGCTTAAGGCTCTTAGCTCGGTGGGGCTGCCAGGGCTTCCCTAAGCTCTCAGCCGGACAAACAGTGCCACCCTCTGCTGATGGGAGGTTATCTTAGTGAGGACAGAACTTGGGGAGACTCCGGGGCTCTGTGAGGCAGGGGGCTCCGTCCTTGGCCCTGATCCAGTCAGTAAGGCGTACCTCCCGGTACCGATCCCTCCTGTGTCCCCAGGCACCCCTCCCTAAGGCTGTCACTCATCATTAGCAGTAGCTGTCACTCTGAGGACAGCGCCTGTTAGCCTACAGAGCCAGAAGAGGAGGAGGAGGAGGATGTTAGTTGACTCACACGGCCTCAGAGAGGAGACACATGTGGGGAACATGGGGCCCAGTGTGCGAAGCACCTTTGTAGACCTCTCACTCTGCCCTTTCTTTTTTTCCCTTTGGTACCGGGGATCTATTTTGAGTCCTTGCTCTTGCGAGGCAGGTGGTGGAACCACTGAGCTAAATCCCCAGCGTCTGCCCTTTCTCCTTCCAGAGGAAGCCAAGTGCAGCTCCACCTGTTCTGCCTCCCACTGTCAGAGAGTAGCTGAGGGGAGAGGCTACCCTGAGGCTGGGCAGGTAACGGAGGTGACCAAAGCAAGGTCCTGCCCATGGGGACCGCTTTGCATGGAGCCATTTACATTTCTTGGCCTTGTCCAAGAAAGTGTTTTGTTAGCCAGGCGTGGTGGCTCACGCCTGTAATCCCAGCACTCGGGAGGCTGAGGCAGGAGGATCGCTGTCAGTTCGAGACCAGCCTGGGCTACATAGTAAATTCCAGGTCAGTCTCAACTACATAGTGAGACCCTGTCTCAAAAAAACGGAAAAAAAAAAAAAAAAGAAGAGGAAGAAGAAAGTGTTGTTTTGTTTTGTTTTGGGGGGTGGAGGACGTGCAGGATCAGCCATTTAACCTGGTACTCAGTGAAGCCCTCAGTAGAAAATGTTGGGACCTGAGCCCTGTCCTTTCTGCCCCACCCAGTCACTCAGTGATGCCTCCTGGTGCCCAGAGATGTAGCGTGGGCTGGGGATGCAGGGGGAGTCAGTAATTGACTTAGGAAATTAAGGCAGATGCAGTTTGGTGAGGGTCAGAGAAGGAAAAGATCACATCCATGGGGCAGCCAGGGCAGGTTTTCCAGAGAGCCAGGTCAAGCTGGTTTTCCCAAAGCTGGTGGTGGTCATCGCCGGGGCCCCAGCTCTTTGAGATGCTGCTGTGGAGAAATAAGAACAAGGGGATGACAGTAAATCTGTACCTGATTTACATCTGCCTACACGGAATTATACCATCCATTTGGAGGCAATTTTCAAGTTAAAATGTTGTCAGAGGGTTGTCACAGTTTTGATCTTTCTTTTCTGTTCTTTCTCAATCCACCCACATTTTCTAGTTGGATTAGAAAGGGGAGTGAGGGGGTAGAGCCTGGTTTAGATTCAGAGATTTTGGGAATCATTAAAAGTAGGTGAGACTTTCAGAAATCACTGAGTTTTCTCTTAGGAAACTTCCATCCCAAAGCCCAAAGTCACAACCGTTCTGTCGCTTTCAGAACTTTCCGGAGGCTGGAAAGACCAGGCCAGGCATCCTGCAGTTATCCTCCAGGCCATCTCCTGGGGTTTCAGTTTAGTTTAGAGATGTCAAATAATCCCACTGCTGGCTCCATCCAATCACCACCATGCGTGGCTGAGTGTTGAATAGAGAGTCAAAGCACCAGGTTCAAATCCTGGCCTTATCATGGACTTCTTGACTATCAGAAAGTCACTTTCTGGGCTGCTATATCTTTTTAGATAAAACAGGATAATAAATGTGCATGGGTCTTGACAGGCATATGTAACATAAATGCCCAAGATTATTATGATTATTGCAATAACGGATCCATTCTTAGTTCAGAGAACACAAGAGGGCAACTAGTCAGTAGTTGCAATGGGCTTAAAGTAAGAATGGAAAGGAGTCTGGGAGGAAGAAAGGGAGGAGCAGCTGATCTGGCTTCTGTATTCTTCATAGCATCAGGTGAAGAAACACAACAGGTGTGAGGGTAAGCTAGTAAGTACCTAGAAACCTCGAGTCTCTGGAGGCCAAGAGATGGCTGTAGAACTGGCAGGTGACTTGGGCAAGGAATATTGCTTGTGGGTCATTTCCTGTGTTCAAACCCATAGCTTCCCATCTACTAGTGAAAGTCTGGAAACAAAACAAATAGGAGAGTGCGGGCTGTGGCAAAGGGGAACAGAAGTGGGATGCAACGAATGCTTAGACTAACAAATAGGTTTCAAAATGACCTCGGCAGGCTGCATAGATAAAAATGAGCGAGGGTCCGTGTGAAGCACAGCACAAGTCCGAGAAGGCAAATTGTGTCATGAGAAGTAGGAGAGAGACCCAGCCTGCCGCCTCCTCATCAAAAGGACACGGCAGATACCTTGGGGGCCAAGTTCACCACTGGCTCAACTCCAAGGGGCAGGCCTGGGAGAGAAGCACCAGCATCCTCAAGTTTCCGGGATTCCCCCCGCTAAAAGGAGGTTGTGGGTCCCGTGCTCAGCCCTCAGTCCCTTCCTGATCAAAGGCAAAATGTAAGACCGTATGTGGATGCCGTGGTTTTAGATATGGTCTGAGTATGTCCACCACAGTTTTGCGTGCCGGAAACTGGGTTCCCCACTGTGATCTTGGAGGTGTCGTCCCGGGAAGGGATTATTTCGGGTCTCATGTGACTGGACTCGTCCTTTGTAGGAGTGGGTTGTCTGTCTCCATTCAGAGTTCGGCGAAGCAGGGCTGCCCCACCTGCTTGGTTCTCCTGTGTGTGGCCATTTGCTGCCATATTGTGACGCGAGCCAATCCCGCCCTAGGATGTCAATGCCGTGCCGTTGGAGCCACGAACATCGTGAGCTAAATAAACAAGTACCCAGCCTCAGGCATTTTATTACAGCAACACAAACCGGAGAAATGTTGGGAACTTGCCTGCTGTGAGATGATAACCGCATAATTATTCCCCAGAGAACTAATGAGTAGCCAAAGGCAGGTGATGAATACAGGGAGGTTTTGGAAACTGGAAATGGTTGGAGACTTGGGGAGAGCTACGGTAGCAAGTGGACAGACCAGAAGATGGATAAAGCTCGCCTCGGGATATTGCAGAAGACACGGCTAGGTTTGGCAGCAACGATCTGTCGGCGGCTTTGGTAGAATTAACTAACTCCTGTTGGAGCCAGCAGGGTGCAATGATTTGAGACTCACGGCTGGGTCCTTAGAGTGTCCCAAGGACAGCGAGGTGCTCACTGGCCTAGAAGGGGCTTGGTCCACTTGTGGGCCCTTGACCCTTGAGCATCTACTTCACCTCCAAG